GAGTGAGTTTGAATATGAAGTAAGTAGAGCCTATAAAAGAGATACATTCTGGAGCTACTGTTTTCTAGTAAAGATAATTTAGAAAGGGTCTGTAGTAGCTGCGATAGTATTTTAAAATCTTTAAAATTTTTATTTTATCTAACAAAAAACATTACAAGTAGAAAGTTTTCTTTAGTTCACATATGGTTAAGCCATCAGTTGGACAAAGAATTTACCCTACTGGAGGAGATGGATTATTGGTGGAGACTCAGTAAGGGCAGCATTTTAGAAGTTCATCCAATTAGTCTTTTTGCATTCAGGTAACATGAGACTTAAATTCAGGCCAAATGGAGAGATGGTCAGAAAGAATCCAGATTTATATTATTTCTAAGCAACCTGAGCTCTGTATTTGAAAAATCTTCCTTGAAAGTTTTGAAACAAAAAAAAATAGAAATGTATATGGTAAATATTAACCATTTGGTATAAACCTACAACTCCATTTTTGCATGTACATACATATGTCTATAGGTATAGATAAAAGTGGAATCATACCTATAGCTCATTCTGCATATTCCAGTTATATGCAGAACACTGTACTGTGAAATATGAGGATTGAACTTTAATGACATATCATGAAGGCTGATTTTTGAAAAATTATAGGCTAGAAATGTGGTACAGATATGCAAGTATGTAACTCAATTGACATGTGAAACAGGAAAGAATAGTTGAAATTGAAAACCATAACTTAATATGGATTGTGTACTAATAACAAGACCAAATTTTGGAAATTCCAATTTGTACATATTATGCATGCGTGAGTTTTGCAGAGTTGTGGCAGAGTATGTGGCAGGCACATTTCTTACCAGAACACTGAAAAAATACTTAGTAAACTCTGATAACTCTCTAATTTCAAGTTGTAAACACCAAATTAATAAGGGTTAATAACTTATGTATTTGTTATTGGTAGGTTGCTTTCAGCTTCAGGTGACAAACTGGCTTCAACACAAAGGAGTTTGGTTGGCTAATAGCAGTCAGAGACCAGGAGCTTCAGAGACAATAGGACTGGGCTACACTTTGACTCTGCTCTTCTGTGTGGTGTTTGCTCTCAGGTTCTTTCCCTCATGGTTGCAAGATAACTGCCAGCAGCAGCCTGGGAAATATGCTTCCTTGTTCATGTCTACAGAAGGGAAAGTAACCACTTAGTGTTCTCAGTTAAAAGTGAAAATAACCGTCCTAGAAAAGTCCAGAAGCTCTGTCCTTGATTTCATTGGTCAGAATTAAAATTCTGACATACAATCTCCTCTTGAGCAGGTCATTAGCTAGGGGGATGGGATAAATCATTCAGGTCTTTCCTTTCAGCTGAGGTTATTTTCTAAATGTCTTACTTAGCTCTTCTTCAATTGGAGAGAGTTGGGATGGCAGTCAGCATATACTGCTAGTATGTTCCCCTCTGTCAAATACTGCAATCAACAGAGTCAGCATTTTTGGATCAATTCTGGCCCGCTAGTGGCACAAGGACAATACTTTGACAATCACTGGTATAGTGAGAAGTGGGCTGAAGATGAACCCTAAGGAACACTAACATTTAACAAATAGAGTGCTCAAGAAGGGCCCGTAAATCCGTTTCCTATTTATTCTGCATTGCTGCTTTGATGTAGAATAAGACAACGATGACTCCAGGATTTGTTTCTTTTGCATTTCTTTTTCCAGAAGACTAGCGTAAATGCTGGAAATACATTAAACTTAGAAATTGAGATTTGAATTTATTCTTTAAGTAAAAATGTTCCTTGAAAATTTAAGTAAGTATGTACCTGTGATGCAAGCATTTTCTAATTTAAGAAAAAAAATGGCAAGCAGAAGAAAACAAGTTAAATGTACATTCTTTTCTGTTTCCTGACTTGTATATAGAATCAAAAATCTGACCTTTGAGTAAATTTC